AAAACACTTGAAACCACTTGTTCAATTCATCTTGGATCAAAGTCTTCAATACATGTGTATTGATTTCCAAGTCCAAGGGAAGGAAAAATAGATAAGAAACAAAAAGAAATCAAATAATGAATCCAAATTGTTAAAAATCATCAGTCTAAGTGAAATCAATGAATGAATATGTCAAGATGTGAAAATCATATTTAAAACCATTTAAATCTAACCAATATTTGAAATTCTAATGCAACAATTCATGAATCAATAATTTTTAGGTAAATAATCATGAATATGCAAAAATAAATTGGTTCGTAAAACTTATGTGTGAAAAATGGTTGTAAAATAATTAAAAGAGTGAAAAAGGAAGAATTAATCAAACGGTTAGGTGGTCGGTACGGTGGTTCGAGGTGGTCCGATGGTCCATGGCTCGTGGCTCCAATGGCTTGGTGGTTAATGGGGACGCGGTATGGTCAAGACCGGTCTAGGTGTCAGGTGGCTAGTCGCGGGCAAGGATGATCGAGTTGTGGCTCGGGTCCAAGGCGGTTCGCGGCACGAGACGGTGGTTGGTGGTGTTGGAGTCGCGGGTCAATGCAATATCGGTCGTGGTACCGGTTGGCGTGGTGGACCGATATCGGGTGGGATGGGACGCAGGTTGTCGCGGGTCACATTCGGCGGAGTATCGATCGGGTGAGTGGACCGATACTCGTGACCGAAACCTTACCGCGGGTCGTGTGTCACGACACGAGGCAAGATGGGTCGGCACGAGAGGATCGCGGCAAGTTCGCCGCGATACCGGTCAGGCTCGGTGACCGACATGCATGACCGGTATTGGGCTCGCAGGTCGTGGCATTACGGTGGGATGTGGCGCGGTTCGGGGCAATCGGTCCCGAGGATCGGTCATGATTTCGGACTGATACGCGCGTCCGGTACAGGGCCTTGCATGTCGCGGGACGAATGTGACTCGATACCGGTCGGGTATAACGGTCGGCATGTTCGACCGGTATCGGATCGCGGTCCATACGATTTTCATCGAGTTTTTTCTTCGTCTATACAGATCGGATTTGAGATCCGAAAGATGCTACGGATTCTTGAGAACGAGATCTTTCCAATGGTAGGAAGATTGTAGCCTGGTTCATCGTGGCTTGAACTGTGTAAAAGCTTGAAGTTGCGGCTTCGTAACCTTCCTTGGCGGTCTAGTTCAATCGGTCAGAACTTGCTAACCGTAATAGCAAAGCATGTTCTGCTTTTTCCTATGGCTTCA